CAGGCGCAGTGGCAATGCTTCTCAGATCTTTGCGATTTAAAGCTCTGAGTGGCATTGCAACTGTTAGGGACAGGCGTGTAGCTTGCCATCAGGCGCATGACATGTTCGTCCTGCCACTGATATTGTTAAAAAAAATATCGAATAGTCTGTCGAATACGAATGTTCGGTAAACTTTGCAGAACTTACCGAATATGAAATGTTGGCTCACCCCTAATTTTAATGTATTAGACAAGAAAGTTATAAACTTACTGTAAATGGCAAACACATTTATTAAAATATTTAATAAAATTCTACAATTAATCAGTAATGTACATAAACACAAGGTATGCAAAATACTTTAAAATACAATTTATTTGAGTTGCCTTGAAAATGTAAAATGAAAAGTACGTTAATTTTGACCTGCTTTATTTAAAATTCAAAATAAAAATCAAATCTGACTTCACATACACCTCAATATAAGCATTGGAATAGGCATGAATAATGGTAGAAAGTTATGCTAGTATCACAAATTGCACAAGTTGAACAATTTTCTCACTAACTAACTGCGCTAAAGAAATAAATTTAACCCGGAAACATAATCTATGACTTTGCACTAAATAAGTTTAATGAGAACGAACGAATGAATGGGACTATTTTCCATTAAAACGAAAACTCAAATGAATGACACCACTTTATCTAAATCGTCTTAACGACTATAATGTTTTATGGTACACTGGAAACAATAGAAGACTAATACTCTTGGTTTCAAACAAAGCCCTAAACAATTTGGAATTTATTAGTTAACCCTTGTTGGCAGGGATGTCTTAAGCCATGTGGGCCCCTGGACACAATAAGCTTACCAACCGACAATGATTAACTGTAAAATGAAACACGTTTTGGGTATTTCATTACAAAATTCACTCAACAAGTGAAACAGGTGTTTAACCAAATGGTTATAAACGAGCGGTTTTTCTAGAAAGTGTTCTATGTACTTTAAATTAAAAATTAAATCGAATTTTACATACAAAATGTTAGTAGTAAAACCGAATTTTATAATAATAAAGATATTTTACTGTGAGGTCTTGGCGAAATACCTTCTACGTCTGATTAAGTAGTATGAAATACAAAATACTTTCATATCATTTCAGATGTAATGCATTATAACATGCACAATATTTATTATTTAGTATTTTGATCTTATTTATTTAAAATACAAATTACATTACCACCAACTGGACACAACAGCTGTGGCTACACAATACTATAGCTGCTATTTTTTTATGCCCTAAGAGCGAAGCCACACGCGCAACGCAACGCTATGATTTCAAGGCACCGAGTGCCACACGAGCACAACACCACACCACCCCTCCCCGCCTCGTCTTTTGACTCCTTGTACATTTACATCGCAGCGTCACCACCCAGGCGGGCGTCGCAACGCCGACGCAATGCATTATGTGGCATCACTCTTAAGCGTGAAACACACAGAGAACGGGTGCGGGTCGGGCGCCGATCGAGTCGGGACCGCGGTGGGTCTAACTCCACGTATTTATATGGACGACAACCACAAAACAATAAATACAGTAGAATTAGTTACTTAGCGTCTGACGCGTGCCAACCTAGGTCTCGCAAGACCAGTCTGAACTCAGCCCGCCATTTTTGCTTTTTATGGTAATAGTTGTGTTACTCTTTCATGCAAAACCTCTAAAATCCTAGAAAAATGCCTTACTATGCTGTTTTGGAGTGCAAGAATGATAGCCGCGCCAAAAATATTATCCGTGGTAGTATTTCATATCATTGTAAAGTCTTATTTTAATAAATTATAAATTTTCTGTTTATCGAAATAATTAACAGCTAGATGGCAGCACATTGATTGAAATTTCAATGTAATATCAAAACGTCATAACTTGCAATAATAGGTAGTCATAGTACGGAAGTTTCAAGGATACGCCAACAGGGTAAAGTTTAAATTATATTAAGAATCCAGAATTTGTTATTTCTTTTTTGAAACTACGACTAATCAACGAAAATTTTGTAGTGTATCAAATTAAGGATGTGTGAGGCAATGATGTGTGACGACAACACACTCAGCGCGGGCGCGCGACAGGCGCGGAATTAGACCCGTCGCAATTCCGACCCGACCAGCGCCCGAACCGCATCCGCTCACTGTGTGTTTCTTGGCGAATTTTGAGAACGTCACACACACACGTCACGTTGGTGCATTGAACAAAAAAAATTTTGTAGTCTGTTTTGAAATTAAAGTATTTCAAATATAAAATATAAATATTCAAATATTGCAAAATAAATTTTTAGGTAGTAATTGTAATACAAACAAAAAAGAAGTTTTTTTATAGGTGTATCTTAATTCAAATAAAACCTTCCTATGAACCAACTGGCCACACGCAGCAGACTGTTTAATCGAAATCAAAAAACGATTCAATTAAACTCTTTTTTCAAATTTGACGTACAAACGTATAAAGGTTCTTATACATATAATATTTAAGCGAGATGCTGTTACAGACAGATCTCCAGGCTAAAGCTGGTTACAACTTAGATTTTTATATCAACATAATGCAACAACTCCATAGGTACTCTAGATATAAGGGCCCAGTAACGGGTCCACGGTCTATCGGGCTCTATAGGCAAAGCCGGAACTGCTTGTTCGTGATGACATTTGTCTGGCTTAGCGGGAGGTTTAGGCTACATTCCTGCCTGTCAAGGAAACTGTCAAAATTTATGACACCACTGATGGCTCTGAGTTCGAAATGCGAATATCCATTACACATTACTCTTATTTGAAAGATGAGTGCAGATGATTCATCGAAAGTTTTAGTTAGGGATAACGATATTACATTGTAATGTAAAGGCAATAAGGGAATCGTCTCTTGGCATTCGGTAGCTTGGATACCAAAAGGGTTTAGAAATAAAGAAGTTGCAATTGAAACTCCTGTTTCACCCGAATTGTATACTAATTTAAATCTTATAATAATTAAGTTATATTAGAATAGAACTTAATTATTGACTTCTTATTATGATTTATTATTTTAGTAGTATTAGTATTAGCTCCTTGTGAATGAGTTCGTCCTGTGAGGTACTGCCACCTTACCTATTTTGCCGCCAAGCAATAATGTGAGCATGAGCATTACTGTGTTTCCGTTTTGAAGGCAAGGGTTCTGGTGAAATGACAGGCACGTGACTTGTCAAGGGTCTTGTCAACTTATGTCTCGAGGTGTCAGACGCAGTTGCAGTATTTTTCAGATCTTTGCGAATTAAAGCTTTGAGTAAACTGAAACTGCTACGGACAGGCGCGTCGCTTACTATCAGGTGCATGATTTGTTCGTTCCGTCACGTGATATTATAAAAAAAAAGTTAGGTAGTGGTCAATTAAAATATCACGAAGACGTAGCAACTATCCGGTTGATTTGTAATTCTGTGAGGGAATGCAAGATGAACCTTGAAAGAGGTAATTAGAGTTTATTTCATTATTGTTTGTGTATATAATTGTTTGAAATTACATGCTTACATGCTTTTTTTCCATTGTATAGATATTGAGAGTTATAAAAATATGTATATTCGTCAAGTTCTCAACGACATTGCGCTTTCTTAGGTTAGTGGAATGTATATCGGTTACGTTCTTACTCGTTCAGACTTGGCGGACTATGACTTTAATTTGTTTTTATAGTAATGAAATGTTTACTTAAATGGTTTTGTGATGAAAATAAATACTTAGTAATTCACTTAATATTAACTATTTTCTTAATTGATTATTTTTCATAACATTACGATATTTGAATTACCACTATCTGATTTCTTGTCTTGCTCTTATGTAATTTAATCGTTTCAACATATACCGTGTTTGTACAGGCCACATACCTTTGATTTGTCAGCCAACCTGAAATTAGTCGTGTAGTCTTTGACTTGAGCCTATAATTAGGTACTAAGAACAAAACAATACTATGAACAAAAATTTATACAAAAATAATTAAAGCAAATAAAACTCTAGCAAACCATAAAGTTTTTAATGCCTGGGTCTGTCATTTAAAAAAAATAAATAACTTCAAAAATACGTCACGACGATCGTGTGTGTTATTGTTTGGGCTGGTGATTTCGGTGTTTATTTATTGGAAACATACCGTTAGTAGCATTTTTTAAGTTTACCCTGAATATAAATTTTTATAAACTATACTTAAAGGAGGAATTTCATGGTAAACGTTAGAACGACTCAAACGGAATATTATTATATTTATCCAAGTACACCAAACATTTAATTAGTACTTTTTAAGTGCAGGATTTGCGGTGTATTACTGCAGTTTATTTGAGATGTTTTTGTTGGTAGTACGGAGGGTAATTATTTAGCAATGCAGAATAATAATTTTTATTTATAAAAACTTGTATTTAAACTGAATGCTTTTCTAATTTGCGAAACCAAATAGCCGCCATTTTGCAATAGGAGGAGCGCATCGCGTGAGCGGATAAACGATATTAAAAAAAATAGTAAGCCTGCCACCTTTAGTAACGTCTGGAGAATTTTTGTTTTGGATTTATATGTGCTACTCGGAGTTCAAATATAGGTAAGAGGTTAAATGAAGTTTACATGTCCATAAATCTTTGCAAATGACTGTTTCTTCGTTTCAAACATCCTTTTTAAGTTTCCATAGGTCAATGATAAAAAAATTTTATATTTTTATTTTTTTATAAAAAAATAGACCTTATTCCGATCGGTTAAAAACAACCGACTTTAAAACATGGAGGTGATTCTCAAATCGACCGTTTTTTTGCATGATTGTATGTTACGCGATAACTCCGGTGTATATGTGTATGTTACAGATAATTTGTGAACCGATTTTGATGTTTCTTTTTTTGTTGGAAAGAGGGTATCTCAATAGTTTGTGGTCCCTTTAATGTGATGAAAATATTCCATCTCTAAGGGTGGTAAACTAGGGGATGAATGACAATTGAGGTCGGTTTTTTAGTACTCTATGTTGAGATATTAATTACTTTAAAAGCTCCTCCTGTAAACTTACAATTTTCGAGTTAGCGTAGTGTTCATTGGAGGTCTCGATTTACTGCATACGATTCACTTCGACGTTTGAAAATGTTTTCAGCCTTTTCGATTATAGTTGGAGCTGGAACTTGTAGACTATTCAAACTTGTCTAATGGTTGTCTAAAAAAGCTGAAACGTTACAAACTCGTTACAACGTTTGATATTTTAGTTGCTTAATTTGTTTATTTTTTTTGTCTCACGCGCTTATAGCCCCATAATGTAATAATGCCGTCCAAATCATGGTCAATATCTCAATGGTCATGGTCAATACTCGTTCGTGAAATGCGCGACTGCATCGATACAAACGCGCGATTGCCTCGATGCGATCGCTTATAAATCACAAGTGTAGCGATACAATGGCGCGTTTGTATCGATGCAGTCGCGCGTTTGCATCGTTGGCTAAATTCACGCATTTGTAGATGTATGTATGTATGTTTGAAAGTAGATGATTAGCGACTGCATTACTACTGCATCGCTGCTAATAGTCACCGTGTGTAATCGCTCTTACTCTCTATATTTTCTGCAAGACAGTTCCTATCCATTGTTCTCCCTATTGTTCTAACTCCTTTACGGTTAAAGTTTCAAATTATGAAATTCTCTGCACGAGTTGATCAGACCAGCTAAGTCTGTTCATCCTTTTAAAACTTTACTTAAATCTGTTTATACTTCTTATAGTCTAATTATCTTACAACCAGTATCTGTTCATTCTGCCGTGGTTGTAATTTATATAAGTATATCGGTTGTATGTATTTATCGAATATTTATTTAAGTAATAGTGGTTATAATGAATATTGTGATGTTTTACTACCATGGTATAATTTATTTTTGTGAAATTACTCCAGTAATTTGTTATAATTATTAAAATAAAGATCGATGACGAAGAATAATTCCTGCAATCTGACATGACTCGCAGATGTGACTGTAACCGATCTAAGGCAAAATTTATCAGTACAATCAATATTAGAATTTATAAAGCGTAATCTCTTGTCAACCTCTGGTAGCTGGTAGTACAAGTACCTGAGAAAAACTTTCATAAATTTTTAACCGATAGCGCTACACCAAAAAAGCCATTTAAAACAACAAAAAACAACAAGGAGATCTGTAATAAAGCATAGAGAAATTCGTGCGGTCTGCTGACTCTATCTGTAGCTTAGTTGGTAAGTTGGTAGCCCTAGATTGGCATTACAAACTGATTCGAGTTCTGTCATATCGCAGGAATTTTTCTTTGTGTTGGTGATGGTTGTTAGTGGCAGTAGAGCTCCTTGTGAAACAGTTCGTCCAGGGAAGTACTGCCACCTTACCTATTTCTGCCGCCATGCAGTAATGTCAGCATTACTGCGTTCCGGTTTTGAAGGGTAATGGTGCTAGTGAAATTACAGGCACATGGGGCTTGTCAACTTATATCGCAGGGTGACGAGCGCAGTGGCAGTACCCCTCAGGTCTTTGCGATTTAAAATTTGAGTGGCTGCAATTGCTATGGATAGGCGTGTAGCTTACCATCAGACGCACGACTTGTTCGTCCCGTCACTTGATATAATAAAAAAAATATATAAGGCCAAGCAGTAAAGAGTATTTGTATTGTATTGTGTAATTTCCACATTATCAATTCCACGAAAAATAAATGTGTACACAGTGTAATGTTTATGTTAGTATTGATATGTGTATATCCAAAAGTACCTCGAAAGTTTTACTTGCCGCTTACCGGGGCGCGGAGAATAATGATCATTAGATTAACAACAAGATAATCTAACTTTTACTAACTTTCGCAATACCTTTAAGTATAGGAGCCTTGCTTGTATACTAAAGTAAGGGGTTATAAGGGGCAATATGCAATAATCTTAACCAATCTATGTGCTGTATGAGGAAGCTACAAACTCTCATTCTTGCGTAAGTGACGTTTCGAAAGAAGTTTTAAACTAAGCGTTTTAATAAGTTAACATTTGCTTAAATGAAGTTTGAACGTCCATATATCTTTACAAACGAATTTTCTTCGTTTGAAATGTGGGATAAATACACACAATTATTCACTTTTTGGGTTTCCATAGATCAATGACAAAAAATTTTAATATTGGTAATTTTTCTATCCAATCCCTTAATTCTACACGTCTGTCCATAACAGTTGCAGTGCCATTCAGCGCTTTAAATCGCAAATATCTGAAGGGCACTGTCACTGCGCCCGTGACCCTTACACATAAGTTGACAAGTCCCATGTGCCTGTAATTTCACCAGCTATGCTATGCTATGTTATGTTTATTTATTTACTATCATTACTATTTATTACTTATTTTATTTCATTATTCCACAGAAGTATATCATTATCACTTCACCAACTGCTGGACTATCTCCAGCAGTTGGTGAAGTCAGGCTGTATATGATGCTGATAATGATATACTTCTGTGGAATAATGAAATTTTCAATTCAATGCTCCAATTTGTTGTACCATTCGCCACGGTCATGCGCTAGACTGATCTAAGTTCGCCCTGCGACTCTTGCGATGTCTATATGTAAATATTATTATATATATAGATAGATAGATAGATAGATAGATAGATAATTCGTTTATTTGCCGAAACACAGTACATTACAAAAACAAACTTACAACAAAGGTACAATAGTAGAATTAAAAAATAATAATAAAAAAGAAAAACAAACTAGTCTATACTTGATGTGGAGTGTTATATTGTGTGGAGTGTAGATTTGCGTGTACTGTGCCAGCAAAAAGGACCCAACTCAGCATTATGTCGCAGCTCAGTAGAACTACGACGCTGGTGATTCTGCTAGGTCCTAAATGAGCCGGTAAAAGGAAGAGAAGATTCATATTAACGAATTGAAACTGTGTCAGTGTGTATGAATGTACTTATAATTATGATATTAACTGTATATGAAATATAATATAATACAAAATAAAATATACGTATACACATGCACAACACACATACAATACACATATAAAAAAACAAATAAAAACAAACAAATAAAATTCTACCGTCATCCAAAAAATAACAAAACGGAATACAATCTAATGTGAACAACTATATGCGCTACCGCAGATGTATTCGCTAACTACGCTCGCTGCCAATACTAGATACGGCCTACTATATTAATTTCATTTTTATAACTCTATTTAAAATAACATAACATATTTTATTTTTTATTTATTTATTTTATTTGATTTTATTTCATTTGAACTTATGGCGTCTGTTTCAAATACTCGCGAAATTATTTTGTAGAATATATTTTTTTAATGAAAATTTAAAAGAGTAGATTGAGGTAAGATTTCTAATGGGGGGTGGTATGTCATTCCATATTTTGGTCGCATTGTATTTGAAACAACCACGGAAAGCAGCCGTTTTATGGGTGGGAACAATGAGCGGCGGGACGCACGTTCTAAACGGCATGACTTGTCTATTTGAACGCCATTTTAGTTTTTTATAAAGGTAAGATGGTACTTGGTTCTTTATGATTCCAAATAGCAGAGTCGCAGTGTATAGTTTTTGACGTTCGCTCATGTTTAGAACTTTAAAAGATTGAAGATATGGCGCGACATGGGTACGTGGTGGTATTCTAAAACAGTATCTTGCACAGGCATTTTGCACACGCTGAATCAATTTTTGGGATTTTTTTGTAACGCAGGACCCATACACGGTAACGCAGTAATTTAGTTTAGATAGTACTAGTGCATCACAAAGCATCACCCTCAAATCCAAATTTATGAGATCTCGAATTCTGTATAATACTTTAAGACGATAAAAGCAGTTACGCACCGTCTCTAGCAAATAATGTTGGAAACGCAGCCCACCATCCATCAAAATACCCAAATTACGAGCCTCCTCCACCCGTTCAATATTTACACCTGATATATTTATAGTGGGATTTAGATCAACAATCCTTGCAATTTGTTTACACGAGCCCAAAACGATGTATTTTGTTTTTTGAGGATTAAGCACCAAACAATTTCTCGAAGACCACGCTACGATACTCGCAAGATCTTCATTCAGTGCCTTAATTGTCTCGCTGAAATCATGGGTACCTACGGGTATATAAACCTGAAGATCATCTGCGTATAAGTGATACTGAGAGTGTTTGATAGAACTTGTTATATCGGAAGTGTAGAGTATAAACAGAAGAGGACCCAATATAGATCCCTGAGGCACTCCTCTGCTTACACACGCCTCCTGCGAAACTAAGGTAGAACCGTCAGCAGCACAGATCTCAACACGTTGCGCACGATCCCCCAAATACGAGCCAAACCATGCTATTGTAGAATCATCAAACCCGTAGAACGCCATTTTGGAAAGAAGAAGTTGGTGATCAATGCAATCAAATGCCCTTGAGTAGTCCAGTAAAAGGAGGATAGTTGCTTTGCCTTTATCTTGATTAGAGAGTATGTTGTCAACAACATCAAGCAATGCCGTCGCCGTACTACGTCCCTTTCTAAAACCAGACTGTAATTCAGGTAAGATGTCATGAGATTCACAATATTTTGAAAGTTGATCAAAAACAACCTTTTCCAGAATTTTTGATAGATAAGGAAGTAGACTAATGGGGCGTAAATCTTTTAATTCGCTAGGGTTAGCAACTTTAGGGATTGGTTTTACGAGGGCAGTTTTCCATGCAGCCGGGAATTTGCCAGTAACAATGGATTTATTGATCATGCAAGTGATAATTGGCAGAGAGTGAGGCAATGTGAGCAATAGCATATCCCTACTGAGGCGGTCAGCTCCTTGAGCATTGGACTTAATACTAAGAATGACCTTACCCACTGTATTCTCCGTAACTGGTTCTATATGAAATACAGAAGAACCATGTCTATGGGATTTAAAGTAGAAAATATCAGATGATACAACATTATTAGTACCTGATACATTCATGAAATGCGAGTTGATTTTTTGTGGGTCAAGAAGATGTTGTGGCAGCTCTTGATAGGTTTTGGAATTAGGTAGAACTGTGCTTTTTAGGTTCCTCCAGAGAACTTTAGGCATTTTAATATTTTTGTTGACAAATTGCTCAAAATAGGCTTTTCGCTCAGCAAAAAGGCAAATGTTAACATTTTTTTTTAACTCTCTGTAATATTTATCGTGCTCAACTATGCCAGTCACACGATACCTCTCCCTAGCCTCATCTCGTAT